GGCACTTCGTCCTGGGAGACCTCAGCTCTGGCCTCATCGGCTGGTGTGTCGGGAGTGACGTCAGAATCATCCGAAATCGGAACGAGCTCTTCTTTGGCGTCGTCTTTGGCGTCGTCATTAGTGTCTCCGGCTTCCGCCTCCTGATTCTGCTTCGCCGCCTCTTCCTCTTGCTTCTTCTTCTCGGCTTCCTCCTTCTCTTTGGCCCTTTCGCTCTCCTTCTGGGCCTCCATCTCTTCCTTCTTCACTTCGTCCTTGTATGCGTTGCTAAGTTCGAGAAGCTTGTCAACCTCCTCTTCGTATCTGATCTTGTCAACGTGGATATGATGCATGAATGTGTCGGCCCAAAGTGGGTGGTTTACAGTGTTGGAGTTTGAAAAGTGATTCACTCCTTCAATGTACTGTTCCATACGGTTACGCAAAAGATGCTTCATTTGCTCCTCGTGGAACGCCGTGAATTCTCTCGTCAGAACGTACTCCCTGAAAATCCACTCGTGCTTGATCAAGTTCTTGTGGTCATCCAAGTTCAACTTCTCGATCATCTTGGCGTCATCCTCGCTGACCACACGCTTCTCTTTCTTCACCGAGTTGTCCTCAATGAATTTGCCCTTGTTCTTGACGTATTCGGTGACAATCTTGTTGTTCACCCAAATACGGAGGTTCCTGAGGTAGTAGTAGTCTTGGAAGTTGGTCTGCAAGAAACCCTTGACTTTGTACTCTTGGTCAAGAAGCAAGCCAAAGTTCAGGGGAACGTAACCAAGCTGGTTCTGAACTCCCAGCACAATCAATGGTGACAACTCCTGTAAAGAACTGAAATGACGGTTTCTGCAGTTGTAGACCTGCTTCAATGCATTATCGACAAATGTCAGCTTGGACTGAGTGCTAAGCTTCTTCTTCTCCTTGTCGAGGTTAATCTTGTAGTCATATCTGGATGGAGCAGTCTCATTACTGAGAGCAAGACCAGTGATATCGACGTACAAACCGGTAGACACGTCAATAAAACGAGCGTCAATGTTGTTCATACCGTTACCACGCTCACGGTGGGTAATACTGGAGCCAACGTCGACAAAGAAAGAGCCCATACCGTTGAAACTCGTCTCATCCCCAACACCGTCAACACCAACATTCTCAACAACAAGGGTTTGATTGAACTCTCTGCCCAATCTATGCAAATCTCTAATTGGCATCTGAGCGTCGGTGTCGGCGTCCCAAGGGAAAGCCATACCGTTCCAGTACCAAGAAAGTAAGGAGCCGTGGGCAATCCAAGTGACAAGACCATGGGTCTTGCAGAACTGGAGGTAGTTCTTGATGAGTCTATGCAAAACAAGCACTTGTCTATCAGAATTAATGGTAAGACCGTCGAAGAAACGCCAGTCGTGGTGTTCACCGAAGATCTTGGAGGTGCCCGAGTTGACCAACTTGGCCTCGTCAAAGTACTTGACTGGAGTGGAGGTACCAGTGGAGTCAAGCAAGCACTCGAGGTACTTCTTGTCCATGACGGATTTGTGGTCCATTCTTTGGAGCTCATCAATGACTTCATTAGCATCGACGTGGAACATGTCCTGGTCGAGATGGATGACGGAATCACGCATCACGCCGTCGGCATTAGTGGGCGGTCTGGACTCCACAAGCTGGTTGTACGCTTTAAGAACGTCGAAGGAACGGCCGTCCAACTCGGTCGCTATATCCTCAACCATTCCATTGAACAAAACCGAGTTTCTGTAGTTATTGTTCTCGTGGTCCTCAACATCGACGACGTAAGAGCCCGCATCGTTGGTCAAAAAAATGAGTTTCGTTGGACTTGGAAAGCCAGAGTAAAGGAAAGACTTGCCCAACATTCTCATGTTTTCTCTAGTTTGTGCGTGGGGGAACTGGCTGATACGCCAGCCCAAGGGGAACTGCGGGTCATCGTGACAATATTGCTCCACTGGTCTGGCCACGGATCCTTTGAGCACTTTTTTCTGCTTGGAAATGTCATAAACTTCGGTACAGTTGGGCTTGACCTTTTCGGGTAAAAGAATGTACTTGTTGAGATCTTTGAGGTCGACCCAATCGGACCAGTGAAACGGAACAGGCTTGTCTGGGTTTGCCCGAATCCAGTGGTAGTATGCCGCGAGGGTGAATCTGGGGTCAAACGGCTGGATTAAAGGCTTATCGTCGGTGCCGTAATAGGACGGTATGGGCAAGGTGGTTTCGGGTATATAGTTTGGGTTTATAAAAAAATTATCTGGGGAAGTGTTGTCGCCGAGTTTCTCGGTGGATACCTCATCTAGGGTCAGCTGGAACGAGGAGCTCGTATCTAGTTTGAGGTCGGCGGACATGTACTTGAAATATAGAATACGGAGGTTCAAATAGACCAGTTTGTGGTAGCGCTGAGCTAGCGACTTCATCGGGTTCAACGCTAGAAGCATCGAGTAGGCCACGATGGCGGTCAAACATAGCACGGCGATTCGTGTTGTTTTCTTTAAAGTGACGACAACCATGCTATGAAATGTGGGTGTGTTGTAGGGATCTAGAAAAAGGCGGTTGCGAAGAGAAAAAAGAAGCAAAAGGCTGGGTTTTATGCCCCGGGTGCTAAGCTGCTTGTCCGACACAGAGAACAGGTACCCAAGCGCACTGTATAGCAGAAAACATACGCACGATCTCAAACCTATTGTAGCACAGGAAGTCGCGTCTGTGATGCAGGTGTTGCTCGGCGGGGCAGTCGAGGTGAGAAATGGGGAACGGCGAGAGGTCAGGCAAAATTATTTAAAGGACGAGTTGGCCGCTTTTTTTAAATAAATTGTTTTTGTGGTGGGAATCCGCGTATTTATATAGTTCTTGGCGTAGGCGCTCAGCCGCAGGGGTAGCCAGGGCTCGGGCCGATTTGTGGGGGGCACCGCACGGCACTAAATAAGCGAACAATCACGCCAACGACGGCACATGGTATTTTGAGTTTTTTGAACACTCGTGTGACAGGCGGTGACAAACAGAGGTGTATAGAGGAAAACAAAGGGGCGATGGATCAGAAGCGGAAATGAGTGGAATTCGACCAGGGCTTGAAGCATGCAAGGTGGCGTGGTTTGGAGAAGGTGGCTCATGGCATGTTGGTTTAAACTGCACCCTTGTTGCAGCACCGTTGTCGTAAGCTTTGCCTCGGACCGGCGAGCTTAAAGTGGATGGTGGAATGTCGGTGAGAAGCTTTTGTGTATGGTCCCACAGACGCACAATGGAGATGATCTGGATTCGCAGCAACTTACACTTTACACTTTCGCTCAAGGGAGGCGACCTTGAACAACCTCAAACGAAACTTCAAAAGGAACCTTGATAAACCTTCGCTGTTCGACCGTCTCCAGGGCTTCTTTCGGTCGTTTCACACACCTTCTTGGCTGCCAAGAGGCGCACTGCTTTCCACCTCGCGCATCGCTTCATTGCTCGTGTGAGTAATGCGTGGAAAACGCAGACAATCAAGATCCCTGGCACATAGTCGAGGTATTTGTCGTGAATTTGGTGACATTGACACGACGGCGCCGAGGGGTTATGATAATGGTATTTTTTTTCGCGACGCAGCCGCCGTGGTGGTGGTTATGGCGGTTGGTGATGTTTCGTTAATTTTCAACCGAGGTGCGTTCCAGAACGCTCGGTTGCTATGTATCCCTTCCTTCCGGTCCATGTGGGTTCCACGAAGCGGCTGTTTCTGTTGAGGTGGCTATTCGGCGCAATTTGTGGAACAGACGGTCCTGGACCTGGCGGTTTCGAGCCATGCTTGGAAGAACGTCATCGCGGTTTGGAAAATTGCAATGCGTCAACGGCAGCGGTTTGTGGATTTGATTGGTTAAGGGGGCCTTTGAATTCACGGCCACAGCCACGGCTTTTTGCGTGTTATCTCGCAAATTATGTTCTGCAAGTTTGCAGCGGTCCGCTGGTGCTGCTGCTGCTTTTCTTCTCTCGCTGCTTGGTATTTCCGATACCTCCGCAAGCAGCTCCCCTATTCGATGTTTTTACTTAGTAAGCCGTTTACTAAGCTTTTCGGGATCATGTTATTTCTGAAGCCGCCGGCTTGGCTTGGTCCGGCGGAGATCTCGATTTGGACCAGGCGTCCATGCGGCTGTGGAAGAGATAGAGTTTCTGGAGCGCTACAGCACTGACAGCGCAGAAACGGCGGTTGGGCATTTCTTCAAGGAATGAATTGTACAAATCTTTCTTCTACGATTCATTTTCTTCATTTCATGCTATTCCACCTCCCCTGGCTTTATTCCATCATCCCTTTGGGCCTTCCGAAACCCAGCAGGTAAATTCTCGGCACCACGCCTCACGATGCCTGGCCAGGCGTCTACATGGATTTTCGACGTAAGTCTATTTCCATCGGCCGATTATCTTTTCGATCTTCGGCGCAGAAGGTTCTTTTGGGTTTTTCGGTGACGTCATGTCTGCTAGACCATTGACCTCATTTGGGCGAACCATGTCCTGATGACCTACACTTCTTGCATGGAGTTATTCTAGGGAAAGTGACGGAAACGGTAGTCAGAGTTCAAAACTGTGCTCAATGTAAGATACAGTGATCGATCGCTTCCATATTGAAATTGCCGATCAGAATGATGTTCTGGTTATGGTCCACGATCTTCGTTGCTGAAAACTCAATATCTGCTCTACATTCCGCTTTCGATGCAGACGTACTTTTATTCAGGTCAAAAGCGCATAAGTTGCTACAAAAGACCCCTGCTTGAAGTGCCCAACCCGTTCGTCTCTCTATTTCTTCATTCCTTTCTCAACGGTTCCATAGAAGCTCGGTAAAACATCCCTGCGGCATTGAAATAACCGATATACTTCTAAACGAACACAAAACAAATTTCACAGGCTTTACGAAACGGACTGATCACAAGCGAACCTAGCCTCCGTGCAAGTGAGACATGTAGCAGTTTTGTGATATTTGGGTGAAAATTGCGAACGCTCTTCCCCACATTGGTCTACTATACCTACATCGCAGTTCATCAAATGGCGTAGATTCCGTAATAAATATTTACTTACTCTCTGACAAGAATGGAGGCAGCACCCATACCGGTACCGATACACATGGAGGTCAAACCAATCTGGCCCTTCTTCAACAAAGGCAAGATGGTGGCGTACTGTCTGGCACCAGTACAGCCCAATGGGTGACCCAAGGCAATGGCACCACCGTTGATGTTCAACTTGTCAGCTGGAACGTTACAGGTCTCAGCAGAGTACAAGCACTGAGCAGCGAAAGCCTCGTTGATCTCGAAAATGTCAACATCGGAGACGGTCAAACCGGCCTTCTTCAACACAGTTGGGATGGCAACGGCTGGACCGATACCCATGATCTCTGGTGGGACACCGACAGCGGAGCAGAGGACGAACTTACCCTCGATTGGGTAGCCCTTGGCCTCGGCAACAGATCTTCTCATCAACAACACGGCGGCAGCACCATCGGAAACCTGCGAGGCGTTACCAGCGTGAGTAGTACCGTCGGACTTGAAGGCTGGCTTCAACTTGGCCAAGGACTGGGCGGTAACACCCTTTCTTGGACCCTCGTCAGTGTCAACGGTGATCTTCTTCTCGGCTGGCTCGGCGTTCTCGTCCTCATCATCGTCATCGTCATCTCTGAGGATGGCCTCAATTGGCAAGATCTCGGACTTGAAAGCACCGGAGGAAACGGCCTGCTCAGCCTTTCTGTAAGACTCGGCAGCGAAAGCATCCTGCTTCTCTCTTGGAATCTTGTACTTGTCAGCAACGTTCTCGTTGGTGATACCCATAGGGATCAAACACTTGGCCATCTCGGCGTTCTCAGCCAAAGCTGGGTCAACCTTTGGAATGGCCTCAGCACCGTAACCCTTGGTCATGGACTCAACACCGGCAGCGATACCGACATCGATCTCACCACACTTGATCTTGTTGGCAATCTCGGAAATGGCCATCAAACCGGAAGAACACTGTCTGTTCAAGGCAATGAAGGCAGCGGTGTTAGGGATACCGGCAGCAAGACAGGCACCTCTGTGCTCAGAAGCACCGGCGGCTCTGTTCAAAACGTTACCACAGGCAACGTCCTCAATCAAGTTAGGGTCGACACCGGTCTTCTTGAGGAAAGCCTCCAAAAACTTGGTCAAAATGTAGTCGGAACCAACATCTCTGAAGGAACCTCTACCACCCTTGGTCATGGCGGTTCTGTAGGCGCCGACAATGACAACGTCATCTGGGTTCTTCTCGAGAACGGCCTGCTTGGAGGAAGGGCTCAACTGGCCAGCCAACTGGTTCAATCTGTCCATGGTGATATGTGAAAAAAAATGTGGGGTGATGGGCGAAAAAAACGAGGGAGCAGGGGGGTCTTTATACTTTTTCCAATCACATTCATACGCCAGGGCCACTCCGCATTTTGAGGCCGGTGCTGCATATGCACTACACATGTACCGAGGACCCCAGATTAAATCCTAAGACCCGTACACCACTCACTGGGGCCGGCTCGCCGACGCCGCTAGAGCCCATCTTGACTGGCAAATGGCAGAGATTTCACATTGTACTAGTAAAATGTCGCTGGCTACTACGCCAAATCAGCGTCTCCCCGTGCGACGCACATGAAAAAACCGTACACCACAAGCAGGACCGTTGGTTGCTTCCGCCCACTCAGCCATGTGAAACCCCGCCGGAAGAGCACGTGACCGCCTTTCTACCGAGGCCTCCCCACGTCAGTGCAAGGCCGTTATACGATTGACTTTTGGGAAATAGAAAAAAATGAATTAGAGATTTGGGATGTTTCGGGTTACCATGATGGTTTGATTAAGAAATATAATTAATTGGACTGGAAACTGGCGGGGACTGGGGTGGTACCCGCTCGATCAGATGCTATTGTCCCGCGACTAAGTCCTAGGATTGAACATGATAATATGGCATGACGTAGTGAAGATGAAAAATTCGGTGTCACAACCTAGGAAGGCTTGGATTTGCAAAACACGCAGTCCGGTGAGTTGAGCATATAAAATATTTTAGATACCGCCTCGAGAACCTTAAATGGAACAACGGCCTGGGTGTCTTTCACCTGCCACTATATCCACGGTTGCAAAATCGCACCGAGTCGCCCAGCCCCGAAACCCGACAATCGAAAAACGGTGATTGGCGAGATAAAATGCCAATGACTCTTTGTTCGAATGGGGGTGAAACTTGATCGTCGTTTTTTCTTAACATTGATCCGCCCTCGTTATCTCCTCTACTACCCGATCTTCAATGGCAACACCCTAGGGGTCACCGTATAGGTCACCCGAAAGGCAAATGCACGGGCTGGCTGCATAGCACCTATTATGCCAAAGAAGCCCGCAGAAGCCGCCACCGAGTATTTCGGCATCACGACTTTTACACTTTAAAGTTCAGGCATAGAAGGTTACCAGCCAGCTCGGTTCCGGTCAACCAACAAGAACCCGAGGCACCCCCAGCATAACTCCTCTATACCCCATATTGTCTTCTCAACATAATCGGCCCCGTGATTGTAGTTTTTTGGGTTCGTGTAGCGACGGCCTTAAACCCTATCTTAACTCCACTCCGGTGCGTCTCCGAGACCAAGGCTGGGGTAGAGGGGTTCAGCGGAAATATCACGGGTGCGCCAGGTGCCTGTTTAGAGTGATTTCGAGGAAGCATGGTCCGAGGAGCTAATAAAACGTCGCCGTGGTGCTCTGGTGTGAGGCAGGTTCTTGAGCTGGGTCTGCCGACTGGCCGTTGACTCTGAAGAGTCTTTGGAGATGACAATGTCTTCATGGGGGAATAAGCGGTGGGCTTGATGATGGTTGGTGAATGCCCAATTGGGTAATGGCCGAAAGGCTTTTGACTGTCTCAAGATCGGGTGAAGCTTCTAAGCGCTTCATACTGTTCTGTCTTGTCTCTGAGTCATCCAAGTCTGGCCTTTGCAATGAGGTGTTACTAGCCTGCTGTTTGAAATCGTATGCTCTAGGGTTCTGATCCATAGGTAAAGCCTTCATGTTCTATCCTTTAATCCTTCAATATCTCTCACCAGTCGTCTACGCCTTGTCTTCTCTCTCAAAAGAGAAGATGCCAATGAAAGGATCGATCTTATCGGGCCTTCCCTCGGGACACTGACCCGTAAATATAAGCAGAGGCTCCGCGTCTTCCTTGCCCAACTCCACCTGGGGTACCTTTTCCTTGTCGTCTCCAGAAAGCCCTATGATCTTGGTGAAGTCGATCCGTAGCGTGTTTTCCTCGTCCACAACCACAAAAAGCTTGTATCTCTGGTCCTGCAAGTCGGCACTGTCGTTGTAGTGGATCGTTCCTTTGGAAGTGCCTGTAATTAGACCCATGGTGGACCCTATGCCCATGATATTCGTGCCCTTGACCTTCATGTAGACGCCCGAAAGGCCAAAAGGAGAACAGTGGATTTCAAGGTCACACTCGTTAGCGTACTGAAACTCGAGGTCTTTTTCCGACATGGTGCTGTGAGTGTGGGATTAGTTGGAGTAGAAGGTGTAGTTGGTTTTGGATGGGATGCGTACATCAACAGTCTGCAGACAGGGAAACGGAGGAACACGGCGGAATCCGAATTCCACCCGGTGGAGGGGGTTGCGTTCTATCAACTTGATAATTTAAAAGCTGCTGTTGTGGAGCAGCTTTGGCTTTTTGTTTTATGTGATTTCGATGATATGTGGTGCCTCGGAGGGTGGCTGCGAAATGGACCCTGAATGACTCAGAGGAGGAGGAAGAGAAGGCTATTGGGCAATGTATGAAAATAAAAAAAGCAGTAAGTGGAATGAAGTGTAGTAAGTTAAAGGATGGGATTATGTTGATGTTTTTGCTTTTTTGCTAGCTTGCTTGGTGGAGGTTTAGTGTCTCAGGTATCTACCATGAACCTGTACTAGTGAAGATCACGAAAATCATGAAACCCTACTCCCATGAAATTATTCTTGCCTCCTAAAATGCTCCATCTATTGAACCCTTAATCTTGCTTAACCCACGTGCATGACTTGTCAATAGGTGGCAGGTACCTCACCATCACCACCACTACCACCACCACTACTACTACTTTCCTTTTCACATTTTTTTTATTTTTTTTCTATTTTTTACATTTTTTTCTTTTTTTAATAAATATCTTTTGGAAGGCCGTCCCGTCAGGGGCCGTGCACAACATAGGCACTGGTTGGCTTTCTTCCGTTCCGTCTTCTTCTCTGTCTTCTCTTGAAACCGGGAAGATTCTGCCTTCTCCTCTTGGTATTTCTCCGGCGGCTTCTCTGCTGAGGCACTGGCGGCCTCTCGGGGGCAGGAAGCTCCGAAACACAAACCTTGGGTGGAGAAAGCAAAGTAGCAGGTTCCTTGAATGCAACCTGCTCAACCTCTTGTGACAGGGGAGAAGTCAAAGAGGGAGCCTTGGCTCTGTCGGACTCCAGAGGGGAAGTTGATCTGAAGTCGGAGGTCTCGACAACCTCGACACGTGGTGGGAGAGGGTCCAAGATGAAGAAGATCGTAGCATCATCAAGCACGCACGTAGTAGGGGTAGCAGAAGTGTAAAGAACGGCCTTCTTCACCTGGGGAAGATGCTTCCAGTACGACTGGTAGTACTCGAAAAGCTGCAAGAGCTTGGTGAAGTCGGGGCCCCTCTTGGCCACTTGCTGGTTGGAGGTTACTTGAACCTCAGTGACCAATTGAGGAAGGTCCATGACCAACTCGGGGACCTTGAAGATCTTGGTCAAACGAAGAAGCTCTCTCTTTTCTCTGCGAACAGCGAGTTGAAACTTCCTCTGAGCAGCTGGGGGAGCACTTGGAGGCACAAGGTTGAATCTACCGTTGTCAATCTCCAAAATGTCGATGGGGAAGATGGGGGTGTAGCACAAGTCCACTGCTCTGGATACCTGGGGGAGATTGGAGTATCTGGACTTGAACAAGTCACAAAGCTTGAAGAGCTTCATGAAATTGTGGTAGGGCGACAAAAGGCCCACCTGGAGGCTGGCTGGTCTAGCCTGGGTTGGAGTAGCGTTGATGCTGTTTTGAGAGAGGCTGCCTCTGCTCCTTGGAACGCTAATTTCCAACCCGAATTCCTCATCAGACTCAGAATCAGACTCGTTCAAGCCGTTCTGAGTGTCGTAGCAGCGCTTAAGATTGCGAAGAGTCTTCATGTCGCTGTCATTGAGAAGTGGAATCTCACACAAAGCGTGGTCGCCGAAGAAGGCTTGAGGCTCATTCTTCTCGATCACAGGAGTCTCAGTCTTTTGGTGAGAAGCAAGCGCCTCGTCCACCTTGGACTGGAAAAGGGCACTAGCCTCAAGGCTAGCATTGGACTTCGCATACTGGGTAAAGAAGTCGTTGAGTTCCTCGGCACTAAAAGTGAGTTCGAGGTTCTGGGCGGACAAGCCACCGAAGGCGTTAGCTGGAATCGAGATAGTTGTAGACATTGTTGCTTGTGTTTGTGTACGGAGTATATGCTCTGGTATCAAACTGGGGAAGAAGATGTGGTGGATAGAGAACGGGAAGAGACGAGGGAGGGGCTCTATTTATGTTCCGATTCTGGAGGTTTTAGAAAATAATTTGGTGTTGATGACCAGGGGAGGCCTGGTTGGAGTCATGACCATGGTGTTGGAGTTACTAGTTTGGTGCGAGAAGTGGAGGTGGACTTAGCGCAATGGGGTGAAGTCTGGGGTGGCTGGTTTTTCGATAATAAGCAATAACCGGTGTTTTCTGTCCATTTTGACACCCATAAATGCCCATTTCGTGTACTTCAGGCCGAAACTAAATGGGTGCAAAAAACGAGCCTTGAGTATGTACCGTCGCACCTGGGATCAACATGGTAGGTGCAGCGATAAGAGGATGCACCAAGAAAAAATACGGATCAACCTGGGCTCAAAATGGGAATTACAGAGATAAACGAGGTCACGTCGGAGGAGATAAATGATTTATTTTACAATTTTGGGTCATCCGTGGTGGGTATTATGAGACAAGTATGAAGGTGCTCAGTGAATAATACTTGACGATACAGTAGGCACCAAAGAGACAAGAACAATAGGCTGGAAGGAGAAAGAACGTCCTGAACGAATAGCTGGTCTGTAGAGAATGAATGGGAGAGAATCGTAGTGTCTGGTTCATAAAGCCATCGTTGGGTTCCACGAGCAACTATGTTTCAAGCAACCATCTGTTCTTTTCAAAAGAAACGCAGTCTCATCGCTTCTGCCACTTTCAGTGTCACCTTCACAATTAGCCCTTCAACATCGGCCTTTCATTATTCAAATTCCGCCCCTCCGCATCTACCACCCTGCTGGACCCTACTTTGCCGTAGACCACTTTTTCAAATCGCCTTCTTCAAACCACCCTAATTAAACGCAACGGAAAGTTCCCGCCAAAATACCTTTTTCGTCTTCCCAAAAGCCGATGTGCATCCACCATATAGCCTTCCCCGGTACTACCGTCTTATCGCCCATCCACACCTGAGCCTCACTAATCTGATAACGAATAATCACGAGACCTCAGTCCCAATACCACAAACCAGCTATGCCAAAAATTAAACAATTACCTATGAAGGTGTCTCCATCGACTTCACCAATAAATGCTTAAGCGGTTTCGGACTCCAGAAACGGAAGGTCTATGCTGGTAGCGCAAAATCAGCACCTTCTTCGCATACCTCAGGCGACCCATGACGCAATCGGAACAATTATCAAAAGTGCATTTCCAACACCTTTTGCAAGAATACCGAATCCGGCTTCTATGCTCAGCGGATGCGGGCCGGTGTCAAAAACGAAAAACGCCTTGTTCTCTACTGCGAGATTGCCTTGCCAAGCTGCGGCTCTCCATATAAAAAATCACTTCAGCACGTTCCAAGGCGTCATCTCAGGCAACAACATACCAACATTATCATTTGTCAAAAAGCAAAAACAATCTGATTTCGGTCACGGCGATTAGATCGTCGAAGATGCACTTTTGTAGACTATGCAGCCGCCGACTTCACCACAGTATGAACCGCACTGTGGCTCTTTGAAATCGCCTACCCTGCTTATTAGCAGCCACAGAACCAGTGCAGATGGGCATCGAAAACGTCAAATTCCAGTGCCGCCATTGGTCCATCCGTTTAGTTTCTGCATTCCGTGCTGCACCTTCGGCGTCAGCTGCCTCTTTCCCTCCTTCTAACGCATCCAATTGATCCTCTTCTTCATGAGCGGCTACTAACTTCTGCAGTGCCTGCGTCGCCTATACATCTTGCAGCCATGTATTTAAGGCATCGAATATCCCCCATTTTTCACCCAGCATGAGCAAATCTGACAGTGTCATCCTGGAGACGGCTTCCGTCAGGTCGGCCTCCAGCACAGGCAAATCCAACAACGTCGACGTTTCCTTCGTTGATCTCGAGTCGCTAAAGCCGGACTCCGACTCGCTCAAGAACAATGTTTTCGAGAAGGAAGCCAACCTCGATCGAGGCCTCAAACAGCGCCATATCCAGATGTTGTCGTTGGTGGGTGTTTTCGGCACGGGTTTGTTCTTGTCGAGTGGAAAAACGCTAGCCTTGACCGGCAATGTGGGCATGTTGCTTTCCTACTTGTTCATCGGTATACTCGTCGGCTTGAATCAATTGGCCATGATTGAATTATCCTGTTTGATGCCCGTGACAGGCTCCTACATCAGACACGGCGACCACTTTGTGGATTCCGCCTACTCCTTTGCATTGGGCTGGATCGGTGTGTACCAGCATATTCTTCCGAGTGAAATTTCCGCTACGGCCGTGGTGATGGGCTACTGGAGCGATTTGAACCCGGCTGTGTGGATCACCGTTTTCATTGTGGTGATTCTCGCGTGCAACTCGTACAAAATCCGGTTTTACGGTGAAGTCGAGTTCTTCTTTGGTGTGCTCAAGGTGCTTCTTATTGCCGGTCTCATTATTCTTTCCATCGTCTTGGACCTTGGTGGAGTCGCTGGTGTCGACAGAATTGGTTTCCGTAACTGGAAGAAAACGCCGTTTGTGGAATACTACACCGACGGGAACCTCGGCCAGTTCTTGTCCTGGTGGAAAGCTACAGGATCCACCGTCTACGCTTTCGGTGGTATCAACGCCATCTCCTTCTATGCTGGTGAAACCCAAAGCCCCAGACACTCCATCTACACTGCCGGAAAGCGTATTTTCTTCAGAGTGTTTGTGCTTTACATCCTCACGGTGTTTGGTCTCACGCTTATTCTTCCAGCAGACAATCCAGAAATCGCCAACACCACAGGCGACTCCACAGGCTCTCCTTTCGTCATTGCCATCCAAGATGCCGGCATCAAGGGTCTCCCCAGTGTGATCAATGCCGTTGTGTTGACGTCAGCATTCTCTGCAGCCAATATGGGTTTGGTCCAGACCTCCAGAAACCTCTTTGCGTTGGCATCCAAAGGTCAGGCACCTAAATTCTTCCTCAACACGAACAGATTTGGATTGCCATATTGGGGTGTGGCTGTCTCGGCCTCGTTCATGCCCTTGGCCTACATGAGTGTCAGCTCTAGTGCTTCTACGGTTTTTGGCTGGTTCCAGAACTTGACGAGTGCCAACCTTCTTTTGGTGTGGATCGCCATTGGAATCAACCATTTGCACTTGATGAGGGCCTTGAAGGTCCAGGGCTACAGCAGAGCAGACTTGCCATACAGAATGCCCTTGGCCCAGTATGCGGCGCCATTTTCGTTGTTCTTCTTTGTCATTCTTCTTTTGACAGGCGGCTACGAGAACTTCTTGAATGACAACTTCGACATTTCCTCATTCTTCAGTTCCTACTTTGTGATTCCCCTTTTCACATTTTTGTTCTTCTTCTGGAAGATCCTCAAAAAGACCAAGTACAAGAAGCCCGAGGAGGTGGACTTGAAGGTCTTGTTCAAGGATATCGAGGAGAACCCAGAAGAGATTCCTCCACCCAACCGCGGCTGGAGAATTATCAAGTACCTTTGGGAGTAATACGCGAGTCATTTATACATTTAAGAGTAATTATGCATTGATGCTGTTATGTAGCTTTCACCTCTGCCATCAACTGAACGATCCTCTGATACTCCTGGGGAGCAAGTCCCAAAACTTCAATATTGTTGCTCACAAAATTGACAATATCAACAAGCGGCAACCCCTCTTGCAGCTTTATCCAGCTCTCTGCGTTGATCTTAAAGTTCTTTTCAAAAGCCTTGGCTTCCGTCGTGATCTCCACCAACGACTTGTCTGTCTTATCTAGACCAACCTTCTTCGCCACAAGCAAGTTCGTGCTGAAATTGGTGGGGATGCTCAAGGTGGGGATGACATCGGGGTACTCGATGGGAATGGAAAGGAAAATGTCAGCATGGTTATTCTGGAAGTTCCAAAGCCATGGCACCTTCTTACCAGCTACAGGTACAACAACCTTATAGCGGATCTCCTTGGCAGATTTGTGGAACAACTTGACGTGGTGGGCAAGCTTCGTGCACATTTCGTCAATGTACTTGTTTCTAAGTCTGTTTGTTTCACTGCTGATGTGTGGTGCTGAAGGTTCTGGAGGAGGTGTAGGAGGAACCACAACAGGAGTAGTTTCTCTGGTTGCTTGAGCTGGTGATGCGTTTTCTGTGGGCTTGAAGCTGACAAACTTCATGGTCTGTCTCTTTTCCTGCTTCAAGAAATCCTCCAAGTACTTGTTGAGCGTTTGAACCTGCGATAATAGGCCTTTTCCATCGACCAAAGTGATGTCAGATTCGATCTTCTTTTTCAGTCTTGCCACAGTTGCAATCTCCTTAAATCCTCTCTCGATGTTGATGCTGAACCCTCTGGGGATATCGCTATTGAGAACGATGATCGAGGGGAGCTCTTTGGTATCCTTGGGGTAGTTTGGAGGTATGGTCAAGTTGAACTTCAACGTATCCAACTCAAAGGGGAAGTCGGGGTCAGCAGGGGGTATCATGAAACTGAGGTACAACGGTTGCAGGGCATCTCTCTTTATTAGACGGAGAACATGGTTTATGACGATCTCTGCCTTGGCCTTTTTGGGAACGTTTTCTTGGTTTTCTAACTGTAGCAGAACAATCTTCTCCACCGCAAGACCGTTTATCGTGATTGGAATGTACTTTTTGACGAGCTTCACGATCTCCAAGAATCGGAAGTCTTGTTCGGGTGTATCTGGGGTCGATGCCTTCTTCAGCTTGCCTCTTCGACTCTGTTTCTCCTCGCCTTCTTTGGGAGACTTTCTCGGACGGCGCCTATGCATTTTTCTTTGTTTGCTGGAGCCTTCAGCCAGCGACAGACCCTCCATTTATGCGATTAGTGATTCAAGCTGAATCAGGATTATCACTCATACTGAGCAACGGTGGTGATGTTGTCACGTGACTCCAACTTTAGGTGGCCAATAATCGGCAGATACAGAGGTGAAGTGATGCTCTGCTGGACGTTTATGGGTTTCATATGGGCTAATTACTACTTCTAGTTGAATTCAGA